GTCGAAAAATTGACCCTTATTACTGGTTTTGTGGTCCAGGGTCACAAATGTACACATGAGATTGTACAAATTCATCTGGCCAAAAACTGGCTATTTAAATGACAAGAGACTGTCAGATGAATATGGACAGATTTAACCCCATTATAATAGATACAACTCATTCACATAGCTGTATAGAAGTGTCAGTCTGTGATTGGCTGTACAGAAACCAATTAGAGGAAAATGTGTGTAGACTTTGTAATTAGGATATTAGAAAGTGTGTAGCTGTTGTGATTGGAAACAGGACTCACCATGTACAGTGATGTTGAGAGGATGACGTTTCTCTCCAGATTCAGACTGACACCAATAAACTCCAGAGTCAGATGTGCTGAGAGAGACGATTCGACATGAAGATCCTGTTTGTTTTGAACAATCTTCTGTGTTTCTGTCTGTGTATCTTCTCACTGTCCATCCAGTAGATTAAATTCTTAAATATACTTTAATCTAAAACAGATCACCTATTATATTTGATCTAGTTTTATATGTCATTCGACTCACCATGAACAGTGATGTTGAGAGGATGACGTTTCTCTCCAGATTCAGACTGACACCAATAAACTCCAGAGTCAGATGTGCTGAGAGAGACGATTCGACATGAAGATCCTGTTTGTTTTGAACAATCTTCTGTGTTTCTGTCTGTGTATCTTCTCACTGTCCATCCAGCAGAGTTACTCTGATCCTCACAGCTCAGAGAGAGAGAGTCAGACGAGAAGTGTTGACTTCTGCTGGGACTGACCACCAGAGACACTGAAGGAGAAACACCTGAAAAGAGTAAAATCCCACTCAAAATTAACAGCACACGTGTGGTGTAATAAAATCTGTAATTAAGTCAAATTAAGTTGAAATTTAGCTCTAAATTTTAAAATAAGAAGTGCTATATCATGCATATAATATGAGTGTGTATTTGTTAGTGCTTTTGATCTGATCTAGACTGATCTTGCCCCCCTGTGCCAGAGACTGTAATGAAACACAAATACAGATGAATACAAGCATAAATGCTGTCACACAGACTCACGAGTGATCCACAGTGGCTGTGTGTTACTGTTCTTTGAGTAATAGGCCGGTCGTCCTCTCTCTGCTCTGCACGTATAAACTCCTGTGTGCTGTAGAGCAGCAGGACGCGGACGGTGAAGGGTGTAGTTAGCGCGATTCCCGCTCGCTGAATTCCGCTTGGTCTTAAAGCCTTCCACAAACGCCTATGTTCACAAATAAAACAACGATTTGCGCAAAAAGAATGATTAATTATCACAGTCTATTTTAGTTATCAATTGAGAATTTGTTACGGATATGATCTGGTGAAAATAATAATATGGCCTGCGAGAAAATAAATAAAAAGAGTGGGGCTGCAATGAGTGCAGGTAGCCTAGAAACAGCATAGTTCAACCCAGTGGCATGACAACACCGGCCCTCGCGGCCAAAAAATAGACCGGCCCACCGGGAATCCTCCAGGTGTAACACCCCTGTGGACGGTTTGTTGTGGTTTCTTCCCCAATGTTGCAAAGGGTGATTCTGTATCCAGATGAGCCTGTAGTGTGGAGTGTGTCTATACACTCCATACCACATACCAAATAGTTTTTAATTTTTAAATTCTTTTTTTTTTATATCGTTTTCAAATTTGCTATAAAATTCAGTTTAGTTTTTATTAGTTTAATTAATAATGTTGTTAGTTTTAGTTTAGTTTTTATTTTGTGAACATTTTTATTTAGTTTTTATATAGTTTAGTTTCAGTTTTAATTAAAGTTTAGCAGAATTAACAGATCACTTCCA